TTTAATGCATAAAATTATATAGAATTTATATTTAATAAATTTACAGATTATTTAGGTCATTTTTTTAACCATTAGTTCTTAATTACAAAATTTTTGTTAGACAATTTTAGCATATTTTAGAATTTATTTATAAAAATTATCCTATCTTTTTAATGGCCAATGATAGTACCCGTCAAACCATTTGCTAAACAATGATCAATTTTATAAAATGTAATTCGAGCCATTTTTGAATGATTTAAAATGACATTTTTAACGATACCAAATTTATTAATTTTTAGCTGTAAAGATAAATATTGCTGGAGCATGGGTGAATCTTTATTAACAAAGATTCTTCATATTGCAATTGCATATTAACAGTATGTAGCAGATTTCCTTGATGTAAATTCCGTTAATTAATTCTATTTTTTTTAACCATATTTATTTCTTTACTTAGTTTAAAAAACCTGTCGAGACCCGGGGCCAGCGTCTACATGACAGGATTTACACTGGATGCAAACTCCCTTCAAAAACCTTTGCCTACCCTCCTAAAAAATTTTACCGCCTTCAGCGGCGGTGTCTGTCTATTTTATTTTCACCTTTTTAATTTATTGATACTCTTTTAAGAGAATTTATCTAGGATAACTTAAATTAATCTATCTCTACTACCAACTTTCGATATTTTGTGAATATAAAGAATTTATTTTTTAGATAATAAATTCAATTAAAATCTCCATTATTTACAATGTATTAATTATGGCATTATTAGCTTGCTGAAATATCTAAACCTTTTAAATTACATTTAAAAGGATAGCAGAAAGTTTTATTTGGAAAACAATGTGTATGATTGTTTGCAATATATAGATTTGGTCGATGAATTGTATTATAATAATTTTATAATAAAAGCAGGGATGCGTACCCGGCAAAATTTTAGCCCCGGGTTCGGTTCGGGTTCCGTTTATGGAAATATTTTTGAACCCAGATTTGGTTCCGGGTTCAGCTTGGGTTTAAGAATTTTTGAATTGATATTAAAAAACTAGACATAAATTTGGTATAAAAATAAATTTTTTATTTTATTTATAGGCAAAATACATTTAAAAATACAAAACAGTCATAAACCTTGAAATAAAAGAGTTAAAGAGGATAAATTTTAAATAGCAATGATTTCACAGAATTAAAAAACAGATATATAAATTTAATTTCAATTATAATATACACTTCATTAATATATATTAAAAATTAATCTGAACAAAAAATAAATCAATATAATAATTTTTACTTTGACTTGTTCCAATATAATAATTTTTACTTTGACTTGTTCATTCCTTTAATTAGTAATCTTTGAGACTAAGTTAAAAATTAAAAATAAATGGCGTGAATGTATTTAATTGCTTTAAATTTATTTAACACTCCAATAGGAATCTTTGAAAATAAATTTTAAAAAAAATTAAAAAATGGCGTAAATGAATTAAGTTGTTTAAAATTTTTTATCATTTCACTTAAAAGGTATTATGATAATATTATAAAATCTCAATTAAATTATTAATATTTGTATTTACAATTATACAAATATCTTAATATATGATTTTAAACAATACACTGAACCCGCTTGAACGGTTCATAAAAATTCCTGGGTTCGGTTCGGGGTTTTAAAAATTTTATAAATGGGGTTCAGGTTCGGTTCGGGTTCAGATTTTTTTATCAAAAACCCGGGCTTACCCCTCCGGGTTCAGGTTCGGTTTAAATCCCTGAATAAAAGTATTAATTTTTTTAGCAATAAATTTTATCCTATTTCATCTTAAAATTTAATAGATAACCCCCCAAAAAATTTATCCTACTCCCATTAAAGCAACCTATCCCCTACCCCCCTCAAAAAAATAGGATGCGAACTGTTCCTACCCTTCCCGCTCATGTAGACGCTGCCCGGGGCCTAAATAAAGAGACCAGGTTTTTAAAATTTTTTCTTATTTACAAATATTTTTGTTTTATCTTAATTTAATTCTTGTTAATCATTTTATTTAATATAAAGGTATTTTATGTTAAAAATATCAAAATACAAATATAAATATAAAATACTTTTTTGACAAACTTTTCGTTTTCATAATATTTTAAAATAGAAATGAAGTAAAAAATAATCACAAAAACTAGAGCTATTAAACTGCTCGATTTGAGAAGTTTTTTTAAAAACGGCTAACTCAATATTTTATCCCGAAAAATATTTCCTCTACCTCGATATTTCAGTATTAGATGTCCAAAACCTTTGTACTAGCTATGAGCAAAATCTTCTGCGTAATATTTTTCCGGGTAAAATATTGAGTTAGGCGTTTTTAAATATCGACTCAAATCGAGCTATAATAATACTAAAGTAACTCGTCTAGAAAAAGAGTATAAAATATAACCTATACAAAAATTTCTTAAAAAATTAAATAGTAAAACAAACATAAATATTAATAAAAAAACTCGCCCGGACTGCAGTTGCGGTCCTCGGAAAATCCTGTCCTGATCAAAGAAAGACCAGCCGATTGACCTTCACTAAACTGGGTTAACGTCAATAATATATAAGTCAACAATCTGGGTTTTCCTGTTAGGACCATTATCCAGTCTTTAGAAATCAAAACTCCCTCAGTTTGGTCACATTCCATTTTAAATGAAATATTTTTCAAATAAACTTGATACATAAAAATTGAACATACATCAGGTGTAATATAAAATTACGCCTATCCATAGCTCTTCGTCTTGGCTGTAATGCAGTGTACACTCCGTCATCCTTTACACTAAAAGTTTTCCTGAGGGCTACAACCCCACCATAGATCCATTAACAACATACTCTTAGCTCCCCTCAAAATAAGTTAATATCCCATTCACTCTTGAACCAGTGGGTCTCCCAAACGAAGACACTCTAAGCTCGGATAATATATCGCTTCTCCTCTGGACTAACGGTGTCCACTGACCTGGAACTACATTTCCAAGATTTTGCAAAGACTATCCTCTCGTTTTCAGCAATCGGAAAGGTAGAGGTCTTATATTGGCCTCATAAACAGTCTTTAAACAAATAGTCACTACACCTTAGGGATTTTAGTAAAGATACTTCAATCTTATCAAAAACATAGGTAAAAAAACAGATAATCCTGGATTCTTCCTTTTCAGCAGACTTCTCCATATGCTAATCCAATTTCTTAAGCATTCGCTCCTCTCTAGAGTGACAGTTCTTTTTATATAAAATTCCATGTAGAAATATTTTTTTCATATAATTTTTAATATATACTTGTTTTTTTTCTAAATATATTTTATTTTGATATAGTTTTGTATCTTATTTTAAATTGAAACGGTTTATTAAATAAAAGTATACGAAAAAGATGAATAATTCTTCTTGGACAGGGCAGCATTTTACTTTTTTTAAAAATATACCCAAGCTGAGCCTAAATTTTTAAAAATCAGGACCAGATATTTTAAAACCAAATACTTTAAACCGTCATATTAAATATAGATGAAACCGAGCAAGGTCTCTGATTTATCTATCTTTATAAAAATTGTTCAGTTATCTTTTTATACTGACCTTCAACCGGTTCTTGAAAACAGCTAAGATTTAAAAAATATTTAAGAGAAAAGGACCATTATTAATAAATTCAAAACTAAAAATTATGTTATTAGTCAACAAAATCTAATTTTTTTTTCCAAAAAACATCAAACTTGACAATTTAAAAACGTATTTATTATAAATAGGTCATTTTTAATTGAGTTCTTCCTATTATTTACACAAAAAATTAAGGTTAGCAGAATTGACAAAGATGGGAAAAAGCATGACCCATAACAAATTTTGGCAAGATTCCCAATAATGAATATTTTTAAGTTGCATTATTGATAAATTTAAAAAACATCCTTGTAATAACTATCTTTTCAAGTTACCATTCCATTTAGCACTTTACAATTTTTTAACTTTTAGCTCTGTATTACATTATTTTCAATAATTTTGTGCATTTATAGCCCTTTATTTCCTAATGATACTTGCAATTAATATCATTTGAGTCTTTTAATTAACCTCTCCTGGAACCTTAACCAAATAATAATATTACTGCCTTATCCAATTTTAAATCCATCAATATAATATCATTTTTGAAAAATCTTATTAAGCAATAATTAATTAAGACTTCGTTACAGCCAATTAGTGTTGTAAAAAAGCCCAATTCCGATTGAATTTTAAAAATGGTTAATATTATACAAGCCTGGATTTGCTCATAGATGGCAGAAAGGTTTGGACATAATATTTGCCAAATAAGGATTATATATTATTTCTAAATAATTGGGCCATTTTTAAAAATCAACCTTAATAGGGCTTTTTAACAATACTAAAGCCAATTGTTCATTTTTCATGTAAAATATTAAATACATATAATAGAGAATATTAAAATGGACTATACACCAATTTAATTGTAATTGTGTGGTTAAATTTTCATCAAAAATATCCCATGGCTCAAGAAATTAATTATCCAAAATGGAAGATCAAAACAACTTTATAAAATTTGAAAAAAGAAATCAAAACTTACATTAGTTATTTTTCAAATAAATATTTAATGAAACTATTTATTGGTAATTTAAATGAAACTTATTCTCAATTATAAAAGTTAGGAACAAAATTAAAGGTAGTGTGTTAGATAAGTGAATTTAAAAAGAATATCAATGAAGTACTAGAATTTTTAAAGCCTTAGTTTTTTAAAATGCAAATTCGTCCTAATCTATTTCAACAACCAATAGTGCTAAGGGGGGGGATAATATTTAATAGAAAACAAAATTCAACCTAAATTTGTCACCAACAACCAATAGTGCAGACATGAGAATTCCACCTATAAAAAGTGCAAAAACCTATTGTAAAAACAAGATGTCATAGATTTTAAATACATAAAATAAAATAATTCTGCACTTGAACATTTAACTTAAAGACAAATATAAATTTAGCTTATTAATAAATCTTAATATATTATATGGGTTTTAAAAATATTCATAAAATAAATCCTAAATCATTTTAAACTAATTACCTAATATATTTTATTAAAAACTATAAATTACATGAATAATTGTAGTGTTTATTTTATTTACAGATATCACTAGAAAATAATTTTAATATATAACAATTTCTTTAGGTTAGTGAATAATTTAGTGTCCTCCAGATTGTTCTTGGTACACTTCAATTACATCATCATTTTCCATTTCAAGCTTTAAACATTTATTAGAATTTAAATATAAAATTATTACCATTAAACAAAATATGAGGATTATGAAAAATAATGAAATTACTTGTTTAGGTGTTTCTTCATCATTTATTCTTCTTCCATCAAATAAAAATCTTAGGGAAGCTATTGGAATACCCTTGTGAGAAGTATAACGAAATATCAAAATAAATAGATTACCACTCTTTCACTGTAAGATTTTTTTAATTTGCTCATTTGCGTTGTCATTTTTACTCTAAAATGAATTTCACTACTATCCTATAAATTTATTTAAAGCTAAAAAAGCAAAAAAGTATTAACTTGTCCAACAACTTTGAGTTTGATATATTCTCCGCTTGTCTCTGTTTTTTCCTCAGTAGTTTTATTTTCCTAAAAATTAAATCGTATAGAAAGTTATATTGGTATAATTACTGTGTCGGACATACTACGGAATAGAAAGAATGTGTAATTTAAAATTTAGAATGGGATTGACACTAAAAAGACAAAAAAATTAATGGCGGGTAATGCGTGAGTTAAATAGATTTATAATAAAAGAATTCTGATGTACAATTTCAATGGTATTTTAAATGAAAATAGAATTAGTAAATAGAAAGATTAAGGCCTTCATAATTTATTATCTAACTTATTGAAACGTAAATTCAAATAAATTTGTAATGCCGATAACAATTCAGTTCATAGACGGACTGGCGAGGCTGCGGTCTCGTGGGCAGCGTCTACATGAACGGGGGAGTGGGATAATTTTTTTGAAGGGGGTAGGCGGCTTTAATGGGGGTAAGAAACATTTTTTTGGGGGTTATCTATTAAATTTTGAGATCAAATAGGACAAAATTTATCGTTGTAAAAATTAATACTTTCAGACGCGCACGCAGGAATTTGGTGGAAGAGGGGGGGGGGATATAATAAATTTTAAGATATATTATTGTTAATTAAAAATACTAAGCATAAGTTTTAGGACTAATAAATTTTCTAATACACAATTTTAAATTAATGAGTATTATAAAAAAATTATATATATAAACCAGCATTGAAAAACTATAAAATAAATGTGAATTATAAAATATAAAGTGAATATAACCATTATGAATCACTTAAATGGCCCAAAATTGAAATGTGAATTTTTTGAGCCTTTTAAATATATAAAGTATAAAAAATTTAAATGTTGCATATATAAATTAATACACAAAAAGTTACTTAGGAATAATTGTATTTTTTATGTTTTGAACTAATTTTTCAATTATCTATCCTAGCTTGGCGTTAAATGCCTATGAATATTCAAAGATCCAAATCATTCAATCTACTTTCAGAAGTTGTATTTCATACAGCGTCTGCATGACAGGATTTTCACTGGAGGCAAATCCCCTTCAAAAACCTTTGTCTACCCACCCCCCCCCCCCCCCTAAAAATTCCTGCCGCCGCGGTGGTGTCTCTTTATCACTATTTTCATCTATTTATTTATTGATATTCTTATCAAAGAATTTATAAAGGATAACTTAAATTAATCTATCTCTACTACCAACTATCGTATTTTATGAATATAAGGGATTTATTTTTTAAATAATAAATTCAATTAAAACCTCCATTATTTACAATGAATTTATTATTATGGCATTATGAGCTTGCTGAAATATCGAAACCTTTTAAATTATATAACAATGTCTATGATTGTTTGCAGTATATAGATTTGGTCGATGAATTGTATTATAATAATATTATAATAAAAGTATTAATTTTTACAGCAATAAATTTTGTCCTATTTCATCTCAAAATTTAATAGATTACCTCCTTCCCCCCCCAAAAATTTTTTTTTTATCCTACCCCCATTAAAGCAGCTTACCCCATACCCCCTCAAAAAAAGGATGCAAACTGTTCCTACCCCTCCCGCTCATGTAGACGCTGATTTCATAGGTATGTTTTTCAGAGACTTGCAGGCCGCCCCCGAGCCGGACCGTATTTTAATTTTTTTAAACATACCCGGGCCGGGCTCAAAATTTTTTTAAAAAAAACACCCGGGTTGGGCCTAAAAATTTTTTCAAAAAAAATATCCGGGCCGAACTGTATATTTTAAAACCAAATATTTGAAATCTCCATTATTAGCTATAAAAATCAAAAATATATATAATTTATTTCAAAAAAATTCGGACCGGGCCTGAAAATTTTATTCAAAAAAGCCGGATCGGGTATGAAAATTTTTAAAAAAAAACCCGGGCCGAAAAAAATTTAAAAAAAAATCTGGACCGTGCCCTGCAAATGGTTCTGCATGACTCTGTTATTCTTCTAAAAAAGGAGAATGTTCTCTCATTAGTTTACTAATGGGAAGAGTTGCTATTGGGAATATAATCTAAAATTTTTTTTAAATAATGCAACGCATCCATAGCATTTTAGGACTGTATCAACCATAGTTAATCTTTTATCATAGTTATTCAGCTTATAAGGCATCATAAGATATTTTAACATCTTCATGATAAAAATCTAACAAATATATATTTTTTTTTTCTGTCACCATCTGAAAAAGGTTGGAAAGGCTTTTGTGGAAGTAATGTCTGTGGATTTGTAAGCTGCATGATGAATTAAAAACCATTCATTTATTTGGGTTATAAATGTATCTAAGAGAGGGGACATTTGTTTTTTAATACTACTGATCCTATATTAATGTTTTGACGGTGAGCTTGCTTGCTGCAAGTCGAGGGGGACAAATATTAAACACGTATAGCTCTGCTTTTGACTCACAATAATATATAAAACATGAAATTCTTCATCAACATTAGCTCTAATTTCCTTGAGTTCTAATAAAATGCTCTCCCCTATTCTTATCTTCATCAAGTCAATGTCATGTTTTTGAAAAGTATTACATAAAATAGTTGTTTAAAAATAATACATTCTAATGAGAAAGAAAATTTGGAAGGTATTGAATTCAATAATTTTCTTGCTTCTAAGGAAATATTTCTTTCAATCCATTGTGATATTTCAGTAGTAGCATTAATAATCGGCTCTTCTATCTCCATAAAATCTGTTACTGGTGGGGATCGATTTCGTTGGACAAGCTTGCAATTTCTTTCGCCCTGTTGGACAAGGAACTTCAGATATAATTATTATTTGACTAGAAACTTAGATAAATAATACGTCACTAAAATTTGAAAATAATAGGTAAATTACGCCAAGGAAAACTTGAAATCGAAATTAAATGATAAAATAACTTAGTAGATGAATGTGATAAATAAATATAATTAAATATATATATGAGATAGGAATAAATATTAACAAATGTAAATTAATATTAACAATAATATTTTTGAAAAATATAATCCGGCATCTGCATTTTTTGGCTTGGGGTGGGATTTGTCCCCCTCCCGTTGCCTACGCGCCTGAATACTTTTATTTTAGACCTATTATAATTCAATTCATTAACCAAATCTATATATTGCAAACAATCATAGACATTATTTTCCAAATATAACTTTCTGCTATCCTTACAAATGTAATTTAAAAGGTTTCGACATTTTCAGCAAGCTCATAATACTATAATAATTAATTCATTGTAAATGATGGAGGTTTTAATTGAATTTATTATCTAAAAAATAACTCCTTTATATTCACAAAATGTATAGTTGGTAGTAGATATAAAATAATCTAAGTTATTCTTTTTAAATTTTCTAATAGAGTGTCATTATAATTAAAAAGATGAAATTAAAAATAGGGAAACATCGCCGCCGAAGGCAGCTGTAATTTTTTAGGGGGGGGGGGTAAGCATAGTTTTTGAAGGGGAGGGGGATTTGCATACAGTGAAAATCCTGTCATGTAGACGCTACTCGTGGACAAATGTTTACTAGAAATATCATTATGCGGCTGGGACATCTTTAATGGCTTATTCATACTTAGCATGTTTTTACTATTTCTTATATATTTAGATAAAACCATATCTAAAAATAGGTTAAACATAATATTATCAAATTTTTTAAGAAAAAGACTCATGAAAGGATATCACATATTTAGAAATGCACATATTAAATTATACTAATGGCATATAAAAATATGCTTATCGCAATTGCGCATATAATAAAATATATATTACAAATAATGAATGATAATAATTGCACACATAAAATTATTACATATTGCACTATAATTCGAAACTATAGATTCCATCATATTACTCCGATAATAAGCATTATATAAAATGAGGCATACTGCAAGTTTCCCAAATAGTTTAAATAAACGAATTAAACGAATATTATATAAGTTCTTCCAACGGGCATCAATAAAAATGCCCTAAATAAATTGCATCACATATTTGTCTCCAGTAATTTATTATAGTTTTAAATTTACTAAATTATCTTTCACAATTTATTAATATGTTGGAAAAAACAGATTAGTGTATGCAGTCATATGCAGAGTTGGGCAAAATATTCCAATAGCGTTACGTTGCATAATTTAATAACGTCTAATTATTAGCTATTTAGAAAATTCCCATGGATTAAAATATATCGTTTTATTATTTTTAAAATTATCAATCATATTTAAAATTTTTTAATTAGAATGTTCTATTTAAATATTAAATACAATTTAATACATTTCCTTCAAACATTTTTAAGTTAGATTTCCTCAATAAATCTCTTTGTAGGTTTATTAAAGTTTCTTTATGAAAAACGTAATGCAGTATATGTACTTACTTCATTTACTGGCACAACTATTTCTGTAACTTCCGATTAACTTTCATGAGTCCAAATAATTGAACGATTTCTTAGATCTGTGGCAAAGTTCTTTCTGGAGTTTCAACAATATAAGAATATAACCCTGTCCTTTCTTTAATCACTCCCTTTCTTTAACCTTTATTGTTCTCACGTTTAACCACACAGGTGAATTCTCAATTTCTCTCCAATGTAAATCATGATTTTGACTTTGTCTTTCATTTGTCTTTTCAATTTCATGTTCAACATTTGGTCTTATCCAGTCCAGTTTTCAATTGTCTTTCAAACATAATCTTGACAGGAGATCTATTTATAGAGCTATGCTCCCCCAATCGATAGATTATAAAAACATTAAGTATCAAAGCTTCTTCTGGAACAGAAATGGACTCTGTTATCAAAGTTCGTATTGTACGCTCAACGAATCCATTGTTTTCGGAGATAGATGGTTGAACCTATTGACGTCGGAATTCCAGATATGAATTGTGGTCCATTGTCTCACCCAATTTACTTGGGTATACCAAACCTAGCAAACCATTTTTTTAATCGTTTAATCATACCTTAGCAGAGGTATTCTGCATTAGATCAACTTCTAGCCATTTAGAATCGACACCAATTAGATATCGCGAATCCACTGGTCCAGCAAAATGAATATGGATTCGCTCCCAAGATTCCTTACCTACAGTCCAACAATACAAAGGTACTTCTTGAATACATCCAGATCATATTTTATTTTGATAAAATTTTCTTTCCTAACACTGCATTTCTTACCATTCCATTCTATAATATCACGATCGACAGAAAGCTCTTCCCGTTGAT